GAAACAAGAGAGAGAAGAAAGAAAAGAGAGAGAAGAGAAGAAAGAAAAGAGAGAGAGTAAGGGAGTGAGAGAGAAAGAGAGTGAGAGAGAAGAGAGATAAGAAGGAGTAGAGAGAGTCAAGAAGTAGAAAGAGAGAGATGATAGAGAGAGAGAGAGAAGGAGAGAAAGAGAGAGAAAGAGAGAGAAAGAGAGAGAAAGAGAGAGAAAGGAAAAGAGAAAAAAAGGTAAGAGAGAAAGACAGAAAGAGAGAGAAATGAGAGAGCAAAGAGAGAGAAGAGAGAGAAAGAGAGAGACAGAGAGTGAGGAAAGTAGAGAGAAAGAGAGAGAAAGAGAGTAGAAACGAGAGAGAAAGGAGAGAGAAAGAGAGAGAAAGAGTCGGAGAAATGAGATGAGAAAGAGAGCATGAAAGAGAGAGAAAGAGAATTGTAAGAAAGAGAAAGAGGAGAGAAAGAGAGAGAAGAGCTAGAGAGAGAAGAGAGAGAAAGAGAGAGAGAGAGAGAAAGAGAGAGAAAGAGAGAGAAAGAGTGAAGAGAAAAGAGGAGAAGAAGGAGTATAAGAGAGAGTAAAGAGAAGAAAATTGGAGAGAGAAAGAGAGAGAAAGCAGAGTAGAAACAGAGAGAGAAAGAGAGAGAAAGAGAGAGATTAGTAAGTCAGAGAGTAATGAGAGAGTAAAGAGTTTAGAGTAAGTAGGAGTAAGAAGAGTAAGAGAAGAGTAAAGGAGGTAGTCACGAGAGAGGTCAAAGGAAGAGTAAGTCAGAGAGTAACAGGAGAGTAAGAGAGGAAGTAGGAGAGCAGTTAAGTATATATTATATAATATATATTATATATATAAATAAAAAGTTATTCACTTTATATTATATATAAAAATATCTATTTTCATTATTGTAGTTGTAGGAAGACGTCGAAACAATTTGAACTTCGGTAATTTTCACAACTTTAGAAATTTCAGCGAAAATTAGACCTGGGCCATTTTTTTAAGTGTTCTCTGCGCAATTTGAAGACAAAACTACCGGCACTACATACACACATTTTCTCGTATTATTTCTAAATTTGTATTTTTTCTAGTTCAGAGAGCTCAATGAAAAAGAGACCTGCGCCATTCTTTCATGCGTTCCTTGTTTTATCCGTGGAATAATCAAGAAAAAAGGATTTGAAAAAAAAGCGGTTTAATTCTATTATTTTAAACCAAAAATAACCAATAAAGTACTATTTTTTTAAAAATATAGTGCACGACTTTTTTATTAAGCGAGTTTTATTTTCACGCCTTTACTACGTAAGAAGAGAAAGTATTGCACTCGTGCGCCGGAAAACCGAATTTTCGACAGAAACCCTCTTTGTTACCGATCCCTGGCAACTAAAAGTAGATAAATCTTGTTCCTAAACATTGCACATTACATACTCTAACGCGATGAGTGGGCAGAATCCATTTGTGGGTTCTTGGTACAGAAAAAAATAGATTGGCAAAATGTCTGTCCGTCTGTGGTCAACGCCTAGCGCCTTAGGCCTAGCGCCTGAGCCGTACGGCTGATTAACCCCGAAAATTGATATTCACCGATAAATTTAAATGAACTGGAGGTTTTGTCAGATTTAAATTGATATTTTGATTTTGAAAAGTACTTTACATCAAGCTTCAAGGCCGTTAGCAATCGTTTCTCAAAAATGGCATAAAATGTTTTGATTAAACGTTGTCTTTGTATAGCGTAAAGGACATTAAAAGAGAATGGTGTAGGTATCATTTTCGTTAAAATCTCAGATTTTTTGAAAATTACTAAAGTGCTTCCTACAACTACAATGTTGAAGATTGAAATTCTTTCGTTAATGAAATCTGTTCCTTAGTGTTCCTTGAAATAAAGTCGTGAACAATAATTCGAAAATATGAGTAGTTTTTGTGTGAATTGGCGCGAAATATAGGCCATTTTATTCTTTAAACAATTTTTTCTCGAAACCCGCTCGGTTTTGAAAAAGGATTTTCCTTATATGACTCCATATTTGTCGGCACCAGCTGCCACTACCATCAAAAACTAATGTAACATGGAAATTGCTGTTGTGATGATTTCCTTGTTTATTTTCCGCAAAGAAATAATAAATTATTCTGGTTATTGTCTATATTTTTAGTTGAGGGGTTAATGAGAGAGAAGTCATATGAAAAAAAAAATCGATGCCTCTGTCATTTTGTCTGCGAATTCATGATAGAGGCTGTGAGTCTCATTCAAGTAATTGTTGTTGGCTGTCGGGGTATGCCGCGTCGCGGGCTAGGTTGCCAAAGTTATCGTCTCTTATCGTGATCTTTTACCATTCCGATGATTTTTTAGAGGGAATATGCAAATTTTACACGCTTTTCAACTTTCGCGGCGAGATGCATCGGGGGGCAGCCCATTCAGGGCCGAAGTTTTTTAAACATTTGTGGTCCTTGAGGCCGAACGTCTATCAGCGGCACAACACTGCATCCAATAATAGTATTAAATAATAATAAACGTACAAAAATAATTATAATGACTGTTATAAATTGTTTATTTCAATTTTTCAAGGTATTACTTTCACTATTATTTGTAATTAATTATTTTGGATGAAAAAATATTAAAATGAAATGTAACTATTTTTCATTGTGACAAATTTCGATTACTTTCAATATTTACGTCACTATCTAACACACCAATATAATCTGTTTCAGCGTTTATAACTCATCACTGTCATTCAAATCATCGGTCACCCACTCAACAAATTCTTCCGATTTCACAAATATTTCATTTCGGACGCTTTTCGGCAGCCATGATAGTCAACATGGTCTCGCATGTGTACATAGACATTCAAAGGGACCGTAATATCGATGGAAAACAATCGATATTGAGCAAGGAACTTCTACAAGCTTCACGTCGCAGTCCGTAATAGGCATGATAGCCATGTATTGGGAAAACATGGAAATACAACAAAATAGTACAGAATGGGCAGTGTCCGTCATTGGTCTGGAACGGATTACAGTTGATAAACCAGCCCCCGACTGGACATATCCCAGAAAACCGACCAGCTGAATTATATCAGAGCCATTGTCTCTTCGGTGACTCTGACCGGGAGGACATAGCGTTCGAATCTCCACGGAGAAGGATTATTGACACTAGCGAGATTGAATTTAGTCGCTATCTGGAGGAGAATTCTAGCAAAATTCTAACAAACGGGCCACGGACCGCGCTCCATCTTTTGTTTCTCTTCCTTGTTCTATGCTTTCCCTTTATACTTCCACTTCCTTACATGCACTACACTACCATACTCGTCAGGAGACTAGTCGGAAGCTTATGGGTAGAGCTTGCTCAGGCTGCGGCAGTGACCCCCTGCAGATATCACCCGCAAGCCGACGTATAGATCGGCGCCGAATCTCGCCATCCAGCGGGGAGGGACTCCGCCACCTCGCGGATACGAGATTCATTATACTAACAGGACTAATGAGCATAGCAGTTGACTTGCCCGGAGGAGGCAACGACCTGACTCACCCAGGTAGCCGATGCGCACGACCCACGGGTAGGCGCCGAGCGCGGCGTCGCTGCCGCCGATGATGCGGTCGCTCTGGCTGAGGCCGCAGCGCTCGTGCTCCAGCAGCGGCCAGCCGCGGTGCTTCGTCAGGTCCACCAGCTCCGAGGGCTCCACGCCGGGCACCGCGTCCATGCCTGCGCACCCGCGCCCCCCGCCACGACGTCAGGCCCACGCAAACTTAGACATGAGCATGGCGTTAACAGAAAAATTAGGGCTACGTCCATAAGCAGCCTCATTCACAATGCGTTCGCATAAGCATAACACGGAAGACATTAATTTAAAAGCTTCTAGCTTCTGTGCTTATGCTTAAGTAAGACATAATAAATGAATCACAGTACGTTAACTCGAAATCGAGAATCGAAATACGAGCGAAGTTGATAGACGAACTAAGGCCGTATGGGCCACGGACACAGTCGATACCTCGAAATCGATTATCACATCCAACCAATAGGAAACTCGAATGTCTCACAGCCAATAGAAACTTATTTTGCTTACGTATATGTTAGTGATTACTTCAGTCTATCACTTATGTTAATGTTTACGTCTATGCGTTATGCTTTACGTTTGCATTGTTAATGGGCCTTTACGCTTCCACGCCGACACATTCATGGGATCACGCGCACGCTTCCGCTGCCACGCCCTTACACGCCCACGCATCCGCTGTCTGATGAACCCAATTACGCTGACACGGTCATGCCCATGACGGCTTGCTGCCACGTCCATGCCACTGCCATGGCCACACTTTTACTCACATACTGACGCTCACATCCACGCGATTACAACCACGCACTCATGCCCACGGCGCAACTTTCCTCCTGCCTCGCCCATTCTCACACGCCTCACGCTGTCACGCTCACGCTGTCACACACACGCCATTACGCCCATACAGTCACGCTCATGCCAAGACATCCACGCTGTCACCACTACCCG